AATAGGGTATTTAGGTTCGTCTGCCTTACAATACGACATTTAGGTTCGTCTGCCTTACAATACGACATTTAGGCTCTTCCGCCTTACAATAGGGTATTTAGGCTCGTCTGCCTTACAATACGATATTTAGGCTCATCTGCCTTACAATACGACATTTAGGCTCTTCCACCTTACAATAGGATATTTAGGCTCATTTGCCTTACAATACGATGTTTAGGCTCGTCTGCCTTACAATACGACATTTAGGCTCTTCCGCCTTACAATAGGATGTTTAGGCTTTTTCGCTTTACAATAGGATATTTAGGCTCATCTGCCTTACAATACGATGTTTAGGCTCGTTTTCCTTACAATACAACATTTAGGCTCTTCCGCCTTACAATAGGATGTTTAGGCTTTTCCGCCTTAAAATATGATGTTTAGGCTCGTCCGCCTTAAAATGACGTTTAGACTCTCCTTACAACCAGACATTTTGCTTATATTATTATATGTTTATACTATAAAATATTTTGGAGTTTGACGTTATTCTTCAGAGATGGGTTTCAATCCTTAAAGAAGTTAAAGACCGTCAAGGCTTGCACTACGTCTCAAAGCAGATACGCTCCTTATCACCTCTTGTCATTTATTTAGAACTCATTTTTATCATTATTGGTCATACTTTATTTATTCATAAGCTAACATTTTATATAGAATTTGCAGATATAATCGATCGCCCCTTGAAATTATTATGTTATTATTGCAACAAAGACCCTATCAATTCTTTGCTACTCATACTCCGAACCTTGCTCAAAAGCTAATAACCTCACTTTATCATGCTCTTCTCGCTTCTCTGTCATACTCTTTTAGCCTCTCAATCTCTCTCTTCTCGCTACTCTAATCTTATCCATTCAAGCCAATATCGTACCTTTCAAATACCTTAGCGCTCTTTCAACTTTTAAGATTTTCATTTGCTCTTGAATCTAGAACTACACACGACCTGATTCTCGTATAACCAGAGATATGTAGGCGACTTAAAACCAAAGTCTCGGTCGTACCCTTTTTTCAACTCTACTTCGGTTCAATTGATCCGCTGACATCTGTCGTCGGTCGGACAAAAATCGGCTACTAAGTCAACATTGGTTGCCTGACAATTCATTCATCATTCTCAATTAACCAAGGGGCAACTGTTGACACCCAATTTTGACCGACCTTTGACCTTTTTTAGGAATACTATTCAATTAAATATGTATTTTAAATTTTAGAATTTTTAGTCGACTTTGCTTGAAAATTATATATTTTAGTATGTTCTACTTTATAAAATTATCGTAGATATTATTAAAATATTTTAAAATTATTAATGAATTTCAAATGTTTAAAATTTAAATAATTTTTACACTTTCCTTAAAATTATTTAAATTCTAGCCTATTCTATTCCAATTTCTTTCAATTCTAGCCACTTGAATTAGAGTTTTATTACAATCATAGCCTCTCTTTCATTTCATTTATAGCCATTTTAATTGCAATTTTAGCCATTCTATATCTTTGTCAATCTAATTTCAAAACATCATCTTTTAATCTCATCCGTCCATCTTAAAAAATAAATCCTAGATCGAATCCTAACCCTTCATCTCTATCTAATCTAACGGTTGTGATTAACTCTCTTATTCTCTCAACATCAAATGACCAAAACCTAAACTTTTTCACTCTCTTCTCCAAAAATCAGCCACCCCCCTCTCCTCTCCAATTTTTCCGGCGAACGCCAGAGGTGGCGACGCCCCACTCGCTCTTCCCAGCCGCCGCTCCTCCTCCTTGACTCCTGCTCGCTCTTCTCTTCCTCTTCTCAACTCCAGCGAGCTTCCACGCAGCTCCGACCAGCAGCGACCAGTGGGAGAGGGCAGCGCTGCAACCGGAGACAACCGCCAGCAGCAGCGACCGGCATGGACAGCAACGGCCCACCAGCAGCCCGAGCAACAAACGACCATCTCTCTCTCCCTTGTTTCCTCCCTTCCTTTGTCTTTCTCCCCTCTCCCGTCTCTCCCTCTTCTCTTCATCCGCCTCCCTCTTTTCCTTTCTTCTCCCTCTCCCCATATCCTCTTCTTCTCTTTTTCTCTAAGCAGTAGCAGCAACCGCGAACAGCAGCAGCTCGTCGAGGACGGCAGTAGCAGCGCCAACAACTCCAACGCCCAGCGAACCTCCGACTGGCAAAAACTCCGCTACAGCGACTCCGCGTAGCGAGCAAAGCAGCAGCCGCTAGAAGCCGCTGCTTCCTTCTTAGGCGAGCTTCGAAATTCAACAAACCACTTGTATATTTTGGTGCATTGTGCGGTTTGTTTTTTCTTTTAAATTTCTTGATTAACATATTTATCCTTAAAGTGCAATGCTCGCTCAGATTATCTCTTCCTGTACATGTTTTAGGCGGATTTCATGTTAAGTATGAATTCGTTCATTTGTTTTGGCATTATTTAAGTAGCATTATGATTTTGATCCTATCTTCCTTCAAGATTAGTTTCTCCATATGGCGGCTGCCTTCTGTGAATATGCTAGTCTTAGTTGCTTGTGGCTGACTTTTGCAGTGATTCGATGAGATTGGGCATTAATTGAGTAATTTGCCAAAAATTGTACTGGTTATTTCTATCGATTAGTCCAAACCACCTTACTATTTTTATGATTGAATTAATAGTTGCTGATTATTTGCTTTGCTATTAGAATCTGTTAACTTTTGTTTCAATAAGTTAAGCTAGGTAGATGTCCCATAAATAAGTATGTGAAGATATGTAATTGATCCTTAACCTTTGCGTAAATATTTCTTTCCTTACCTGCTTTTATATTGCATTAATTGACTATCCTTAATTGTTTATTTTCCTGTTTTAATTAAATTTAAGTAGATTTTTACTTGCTTTATTTTTGATAAAATTGTGAATTATTATGGTAAAATATTTGATTGATTTGGTAATGTTTAATCTAAGGAAAATATATTATAATTGTCCTCTTAATTTATTCCCTTCCTTTAGTGTTGTGCTTTCTCATCTATTATATGAGCATGCCCCTTTTCATTCTTTGGATAGACTTCAACATACACTCATTCACTCTAAATCACAAATTCTCTCATCACTCTCCCTTCTCTCATTGCTCTCTTGCTACTCTAACAATACATTAAGAATCCGGTAATTATTCAAGTGTTCTTCTTCACTATTTTACTACTTTGTTCGAGTAAAAGTTGAATCAGTTTGTTTTGCTTAACTAGTTAGTATTCTTAACATTCACACTATCTTTACATTCACACATTTGTGTAAGCTATTGTTTTTTTTCTATATGTAGAATTCGTCATTAAACAATTGCATATTGTCTCACCTTGACCAATAAGTGTATTACTTGTGTAGTTATTTGATTGCTTTGACAGGTTTCAAACTTGAAGTTCAAGTTGAAGATTAATTGAAGAAAGATTTATTTGTTTATTTGAATGTATATATATATATATTTTTTTTTTTTCTTCCTATTTTATTTATTCGAATGTTGTAACATTTGTAACTATAAAGATAATATATATAAATTTATTTGGGGGGGCGTCTAGGGGAGGGGAATTTACATGCCTACTTGTTCATTGTAAATTTTTAGAAATCATGCCTATAGGTTTGTCTTTAACCACCTAGAATTATTGTTTGTAGATGTTATAATCCAATCAATTTTTTGATGCTTTGTTAATAAGTCTAAAAAATAATAACTAGATTCCATTAATTTTTAATATCAAAATCAAATCATAATAATTTAGTAGGCTGATTAGGTGTTTTAATAATGTTATAACTTTTAGCATTGTCCTGTCATGTAGAAACCATGCCTAAGGATTAATTTGTTCATATCATTTAGATTTATAAAAATCATGCATATATGTTTTATTTTTGAACACCTAGAAATTCATGTCTATAGGCTTGTAAATAACTTTTAACATATCCATAAAAATATAATTTGTTTGTGCATATTTGTGCCCTCCCACCAAAATTATTTAATATTATTTAATTAGTAATCCTATTTGTCTTCCGCATTCATGATGCAATATTTCTAATAATACTAAATTAGAATCATTTCATGCATTTAGCAAATTACTTGGCTTTTAAAAATATTTCATATCAAAACTTTGCAACATAATTTTCTTAAAAAATCATTATTCAATCTTCCTTTAAAACTTTGGATTGATTATGACATTGTTTATTTTGAAAATAAATTATAAGCACTATCTCCTAACCTATCGTTAGTGGGAAAGTCAAAGGAACTACGAGGTCTAGTTCCAATTTTTAAACCCGGCGCGTCCCCGGAAGTACCACCTACCCATGAATTTCAAAAGAAATTATGTGTATTTATATGCAAATGTTTATGTGCCTATATGCAAACTAAATCTTTTAAATCATTTTCAAAAACATAAACTATTTTTAGACCGACCTCAAATCAAAATTGTTTCTATGGTGGAGGAGCGCGATCAACGATATCGTGGCATCATCCCTATAAAGAAACAAACATTTTTTTTCTTTAATAAAAAATTCATATTTAAAGTTGCTCAATTTTCAAAACTTTACTTTCGCACATATTAATTGCTTAATATTTGCAAATTTTGTTTATAACATAGTCTCACATGTTTAAATAAAAATAAAACTTGATTGTTTATTTATTGCTATCACCTAGCCTTGCATGCTTAAATTAATGAAAAATAGTATTAATTGTTTTTGCATTTGTTTTCACTTAGCAAGATTAAATAAATTAATAAATGAAGTGACTTTGATTGTTAATTGTAACCCCCTTATAGATTGCATGAGAAACAGCCGAGACCCATACTTGTGGACCTCGAGGGATGCCTAACACCTTCCCCTCGAGGTAATTTGAACCCTTACCCTAATCTTTGGCTCGTTGACCTTAGTTAGACTTAGGTAGGTTAGATAGGTGCCCTAACGCGCCTTAATTCGTTAGGTGGCGACTCCAAACTCGAAATCCCAAAAGAGTTGTTAGGTCGCGAACAAAACCCGTTTTCTACGAAAATGGGGCGCGACAAAATGGCGACTCTGCTGGGGACATTAGGTTTTTACCATTACGTGTTTCATGCTTATTTATGTGGGGTTCACTTTATATTTCATTATTTGCTAGGTGTTCATCATATTTAGCTATCATTTTGTTGCCTTGTTTACTATGTTCTTTTCATGTTCCACCCCTTTTCTCCGTTCTTATTTGTTTATTATCATGTTTCACATTCCCCCATTTTCCTTATTTGTTTACTACATTTAAACCCCTATTCTCTTTCCTTATTTGCGTGATTTTTATTTTTACACCTTTATATGTTTAAATTCTTTTTATTTATTTATGCTTATTTATTTATTGTTTTATAAAATGCTTATATGTTACCACTTTCCAATTTAACCCCTTGATTACAATTATTATGTTATCATTGCAACAAAGACCCTATCAATTCTTTGCTACTCATACTCCGAACCTTGCTCAAAGGCTAATAACCTCACTTTATCATGCTCTTCTCGCTTCTCTGTCATACTCTTTTAGTCTCTCAATCTCTCTCTTCTCGCTACTCTAATCTTATCCATTCAAGCCAATATCGTACCTTTCAAATACCTTAGCGCTCTTTCAACTTTTAAGAGTTTCATTTTCTCTTGAATCTAGAACTACACACGACCTGATTCTCGTATAACCAGAGATATGTAGGCTATTTAAAACCAAAGTCTCGGTCGTACCCTTTTTTCAACTCTACTTCGCTTCAATTGAACCGCTGACATCTGTCGTCGGTTGGACAAAATCGGCTACTATGTCAACGTTGGTTGCCTGACAATTCATTCTTCATTCTCAATCAACCAAGGGGCAGCTGTTGACACCCAATTTTGACCGACCTTTGACCTTTTTTAGGAATACTATTCAATTAAATACGTATTTTAAATTTTAGAATTTTTAGTCGACTTTGCTTGAAAATTATATATTTTAGTATGTTCTACTTTATAAAATTATCGTAGATTAATTATTAAAATATTTTAAAATTATTAATGAATTTCAAATGTTTAAAATTTAAATAATTTTTACACTTTCCTTAAAATTATTTAAATTCTAGCGTATTCTATTCCAATTTCTTTCAATTCTAGCCAATTGAATTAGAGTTTTATTACAATCATAGCTTCTCTTTCATTTCAATTATAGCCATTTTAATTGCAATTTTAGCCATTCTATATCTTTGTCAATCTAATTTCAAAACATCATCTTTTAATCTCATTCGTCCATCTTAAAAAATAAATCCTAGATCGAATCCTAACCCTTCATCTCTATCTAATCTAACGGTTGTGATTAACTCTTTTATTCTCTCAACATCAAATGACCAAAACCTAAACTTTTTCACTCTCTTCTCCAAAAATCAGCCATCCCCCTCTCCTCTCAAATTTTTCCGGCGAACGCCAGAGGTAGCGACGCCCCACCCGCTCTTCACAGCCGCTACTCCTCCTCCTTGAATCCTGCTCGCTCTTCTCTTCCTCTTCTCAACTCCAGCGAGCTTCCACGCAGCTCCAATCAGCAGCGACCAGTAGGAGAAGGCAGCGCTGCAACCGGAGACAACCGCCAGCAGCAGCGACCGGCATGGACAGCAACGGCCCACCAGCAGCCCGAGCAACAAACGACCATCTCTCTCTCCCCTGTTTCCTCCCTTCCTTCGTCTTTCTCCCCTCTCCCGTCTCTCCCTCTTCTCTTCTTCCGCCTCCCTCTTTTCCTTTCTTCTCCCTCTCCCCATATCCTCTTCTTCTCTTTTTCTCTGAGCAGTAGCAGCAACCGCGAACAGCAGCAGCTCGTCGAGGACGGCAGTAGCAGCGCCAACAACTCCAACGCCCAGCGAACCTCCGACTGACGAAAACTCTGCTACAGCGACTCCGCGTATCAAGAAAAGCAGCAGCCGCCAGACGCCGCTGCTTCCTTCTTAGGTGAGCTTCGAAATTCAACAAACCACTTGTATATTTTGGTGCATTGCGCAGTTGATAAATTGGCATACTTTTCTGGTGAGTTTTTGGTACAGATTTGTGATACTCCTAGTGATAGTATCATTACTCTTCTGAGGGAACTTTGGTTGCATACATGTCTACTGCTTCGACACGTTTAAAATTAGTCTAGTTAAAAAAGCAGTATAAAACCAAATGGATAAATCATATGAAGAGATAGATAACAAGTATTTAAAGGTAAATTATTTTATCTGACACATCTATTTGTATTAGGAATTGAAGTGAAAAATCTATGTATCATTTGAGATTTATCTTCTCCAATTTCCAGTGTTTAAAGAATTATACTGATTTTTTCATGTAGATATCTTGCAAAAATTGGGGCTTTACATCTCCTCAGTGAAGATGACACGCCCATTTCTCTGGAACATGTATACAACAAGGTTGCAAAAGGAAAAAATGGATGTTCCTTGGAATATTATGAAGCATATAAGCACTTGAAATCTCTTGGTTATATAGTTGGGCGTCATGGGATTCCTTGGTCACGAAGAAGGTCAAAAGCAAATAGTATTGTTAACCAAGACACGCTGGAGCCTGCTCAAAGTGGAGATGAAGAATCAAGAAACAGCATTCTCATCTATGAAATGATTAATAATATGCAGATTGGTGGATTGAAACTGGCCTTTGACGTTTACCCTCCTAATAGCAGATTCAGAAAGTCTGCTCCTGGTGATCCCTGTTTTGTACTTTGTCTTGCTAGGTACGATACCCTCGTTAATGTGTTCATTATATTAAGGTGCCTACTAAAATTTCTGAATCTTCTCCTAGTATTATTTAGCTGATCATAGGAACTTGACATAACTAGCTAAGCAATTCTATGGGTGAACATTGCAGAATGTTTAAGAGTAAGATGGATTGTTGGATTGGATGGTATTCCGGAAAAGAAGTAGTTTTTCTTTAATGTTTTCCACTTTATCCCTCACTCTTGCCCTGTCTGATTCCCTAAATTCTTTTATCAGACTTCGTTGATCTACATTAACTGTAAAAGTAGCTCTATTTTATGAGTGATGTATTTTCGTGTGCAGTGAGTATCCGCCCTCCAAAGAAGAAATTGAAGATCTTGAGAGACATTCTCATGGTATTCCGTTGAAATTCTGTCTTGTTGAGCATGGACGTTTGAGCTTTTTCACATTCAACAAAGTTGAGCTCCCCATCCTTCCATGATCCTTTCGAGCAACAGATACAAATTTTGGCATGCCCTGTGAAGAGCTGTGGTACAATTATGAATTTTTAGTTTGTGGATTGGTGCTTAATCGTTGTTTAATCACAACACATTATTAATGAAACAACAGATAACAAGTCTCGTCTTCTTAGCCTTCAGTGCTAAAGTACGTGTTACAGTGGTGAAATTTACTCTTTGCCAAAGCCCTAGAAACATGTTTATCCCTTGGCTGCTGGACTGCTGTATCATTTTGAGCTCCTTTGCATCAGTCTTTTCACAATTTTATCAGCTTCCCATCCACTTTGTCAAATTCTAAAACTTATATTGTTTGTGAAGTTCCAATTGATTGGTGTTTACATGGTGAATCTTTTTACTATGTGAGTTAGTTGCGTGAGACTCATTTGAATTTTGTATCCTCTTAAAGTATTTTGCTTTAATTTCTTTCGACGAAAATTGTCTTTATGTAGGGTATTGTTATGCAGGTATCTAGTAAAATAATCGTTATACTTGCAAACTGATTAGTTGTCACCATCATTAGGAAATAAACGGGTCATAGTTGTGTAGGGCCAAAATCAGATAGATTGGTGTACAACTATAATCCACATATGAATCTAAGATGAGACCTCTAATTTAACCAAGTCCATGATCATTAATTGGTGACTAACGGCTACTAACATGGGTTGTGGTGCAAGGTGAAACTATTCCATCCTTAATCAAAGATCTCGGGTTCGAGTCCTAAATATGAAGAAAATCTTGTTGAGAGTGTCGCTCGACTCCTGCAGTGTTTTATCCGAATTTAGTGAGAGGGCTTCGATACGGACTCTAGACACCAGATAGAAAAAATAAATTGGTGATGGCCATGGTATGAAAAGGCAATCAACATAGTTGTAGTCTTCATTAGCTGCACAAACATGAAATGATTGACAGGTAACTTTTTTTCAAACAGTTTGAAAGTGAAGTTTGTATTGTAGTTATTTTTTTTTTCTTTCTGGTGTATTGTAGTTCTTGAATTTGAGTAAATATCAATGTTTAAAATTAAAATGACATTATTTTTTTATGAATCCACCTTGAGATTTCAAGTTCAAACTTCATGTGCTAATGTTTTATTTTTCTAACCCCTTGGTAAAAATCTTGAATCCGTTGTACTAGCAGAGTATTGGTGGAATACCTTCACATGCAATCTAGTATATACGCGGTCCCTAAAACTATGCAATTTGTTAGTTAAGTATTTATTACAATGTGTCATTCGTTTTTACGTCACATTGATTCTATAATTTTAAAAGGGAAAATGGTCAAATATATCCCTGTATTATTGGAAACATTTTAAATATATCCAACGTTATACTCTCGGTTCAATCATACCCCTACCGTTATACTTTGGTACAAATATACCCCTAATTTTAACGGAAGGACACTTGTCAACTTATGAATCAAACAACTTAACAATTTTCTAAATCTAACTAGTTTTGACTTACTTTAAGTTATTTAAACAACTTAACAACTTTTTAACTTTAACTAGTATAGTTTAGACTTAATTCCAAGTTTGAGAAACTTGACGGACGATAGGAGACTTAACTGAGTCTTTTTTTGTCTTGGGTAGCTAGGAATTAGAGTTTATTTATTTCTTAGCTTGGAATTAAAGTTTATAATTCCTTAGGTTGCATAGGCTTGTAATCGTTATATTATTTGAAGTTTATAAATAATACAAAGTGTTTCTTGAATTATTTATTGTTAAAGTTTCAAACTAATAGAAACACATTGTCTGTACGTGTTCCTTTGAAGAATTTAGGAGGGTAGAATTCCACCATATTATTTATTTTAACTTATTTAAACAACTTTAACTAATTTAGCTTAGACTTAATTCCAACAACCAACTAAACCACATTATTTATTTTGACTTATTTAAACAACTTAACAATTTTTTAGATTTAACTAGTTTAGTATTGACTTAATTCCAACAACTAAATCCACCACTAAACCACATTATCTATTTTAACTTACATAAACAACTTAACAATTTTAACTAGTTTAGATTAGACTTAATTCAAACAACTAAACCACATTATTTATTTGAACTTATTTAAAAAAAAAACTTTAATTTTTTTAAATTTAACTAGTTTAGTTTTGACTTGAATCCAATATCAAATTCACCAACTAAACCACATTATTCATTTTAACTTATTCAAACAACTTAATAATTTTAACTAGTTTAGTTTAGACTTAATTCTAAAAACTAAATCCACCAACTAAACCACATTATTTATTTTAACTTATTTAAAAGACTTAACAAGTTTAGTTCAGACTTAATTCCAACAACTAAACCACATTATTTATTTGAACTTACTTAAACAACTTTAAAACTTTTTAAATTTAATTAGTTCAGTTTTGACTTAATACAACATCAAAATTCACCAACTAAACCACATTATTCATTTTAACTTATTTAAATAACTTAATAACTTTCTAACTTTAACTAGTTTAGTTTAGACTTAATTCCAAAAACTAAATCCACCAACTAAACTACATTATTTATTTTAACTTATTTGAACAACTTAATAACTTTTTAACTTTAACTGGTTTAATATTGACTTAATACCAACAACTTAAAAAATTATTAAGTTGTTTAAATAAGTTTAAATAAATAATGTGATTTAATTGGTGGATTTAGTTTTTGAAATTAAGTCTAAACTAAAGTAGTTAAAGTTAAAAGTTATTAAGTTGTTCAAGTAAGTTAATATAAATAATGTGGTTTGGTTGGTGAATTTAGTTATTGGAATTAAGTCTAAATTAGACTAATTAAAGTTATTAAGTTGTTTAAATAAGTTAAAATAAATAATGTAATTTAATTGGTGAATTTTTAGTTGTTGGAATTAAGTCAAAACTAAATTAGTTCAACTGAAAAAAGTTGTTAAGTTGTTTAAGATCCCTTTTGGATTTTACTTTAATAAAGTAGCTTTTAAGTCAAAAGATAAAGTTAATTGAAATGACTTTTAAGTTAAAAAATAAAATGTAGGAAGATAAATTTTTGGTTTCCAACTTATTTTAAGTCATTTTTTGACTTACATTTTCAACTTTGACAAACACTTCATAACTTATTTCAAGTCATTTTTGACTTATTTTAAGTTATTGTTTGTATTTGCCAAACACTTCTAGAAATCAAAAATTCAATTCAAACGGGCTCAATTGTGATTTAATTGGTGAATTTAGTTGGTAAAATTAAGTTTAAACTAAACTAGTTAAAGTTGTTAAGTTGTTTAACAAAGTCAAAATAAATAATGTGGTTTAGTATCATTCTAATGCTCCATTTTTACACTCACCGATTGGTGCAACTCCATGAGCCGGCAACGGCATGGTGAAGGGACGACAAAAGAAAGCAATCAATAAGATACCACTGTCAGATAGAAAGCTAGCTGCAATTCATCAAAGGAGGCCAGAAAAACTAGCAGCAACTGCTGCATGGCAAAACCCTAGGTCACCCACCATTGTGAGGTCGACGCCTCTTCTCCTAATACGAAATTAGGTATCCGAAGTTCAGCGTCGAACCATAGCAACAGTCAGGAAGATCATGGAATGGACAACCAATCCCTGAAACAAACTCCTGCTCAGCATACAGGAGATCCATGGCCTATATTGTCCACAAGGAGTGCGGGGAAAAAAATCCCAGATGGGGGAAGTGAGATGCAGCCACTAGTGCTGGAGGAACAACCATAGAATGAAAAAGAAAAAGTAGCTTGGACAAATCTATTTCAGAAAAAGGGATGACACTGAATTTTATCGCACCAATGCTGCAGAATGGGGAGAAAGTTGGTGAAACTCTGTAAGGAGGAGGTGCAGTTGGAGATGCAGAAAATGAAAGCCTGCCCTGATCTTGTATGTAGTCGGTGCATCTCCTACAATTGCAAGTCTGGAGATATACATTCTGCACAATTGAACTACATCACTAAACATACTGTATATTATCACAATGATGGGTATTTCCGTGTACGATTTGCTAGCATAGATGATAGAGACGAGGTGCTATACTCAGGACCACAATGTTGAATAACAGGCTGATCATTTCGAAAACTTGGCCTCCAGATAAATAGGTCCTGCAAACTATTCCAATTTGGGTAAAATTCCCAAATCTTCCTTTAAACTGTTGGAGGATACAATCATTGAGCAAAATTAGTAGTGGTTCGAGATTGCCTTGTATGCTGATGAATACACAACTAAGGTAGCTAGAATCTCCTTTGCTAGAGTTCTGATTGAGCTTGATATAACAAAGGAACTCCCACTTTCAGTTAGAATGGAGGATCCAAATGGAAGAGTGTTTGATCATAAGGTGATTTATGAATGTACACTTGCATATTGTCCAAGGTGTCTCCAGGTTGGACATAAATGCACACCTAATGTACAAACCAAACCCATTGTTTGGAAGGATAAGTCACGAGCTCAAGAGTGGCAACCTTACCAAATTCTGTTGATCCTACAGGATTACAGTCAAATGAGTGCCAAATGACCCCGGTAGAAATGCACATTCCAAAAGTGAACTTAAGGCAGAGACAAGGGGAGCTGACCATAGGAAAGGAGGATGATAAATGGAGGGAGGTAAGAGAAAAATCTGCAGCAAGAAGTGTGCAGAGACCTTTATTAATGCATGGTGTTACTAGTGTGAATGATTTCAATGTGCTAGATGATCAAGGAAGAGAATAATGTAGATATTCTGGGGTGGTGATCACTACAACTTCACAATCGTTACCTACATGAAGCTAGTTACATGGAACATAATGGGGTTGAATAAAGTCTACAAGCAACAAGAGGCTCGAAATTTCATCACAACAAATAATGTTAGTATTTTAGTACTCATAGAACATAAAATAGAAGAGCAACATGTAAGCAAGGTTATGAGGACGGTTGCACCTGGATGGCCGTGGCTAGACAACTAGGATTATAGTGACATGGGAAGAATATGGGTGATAAGGAATCCTGCATACATTAATATTAGCTTGGAATCTATGTCTGCGCAATTCATACGCACTACACTTCAAATTAAAGCCTCTAGCCTCACATTTGCTTTTGCTGCTATATATGGTTTGCATACACAAGGTGACAGAATGGGACTATGGAATGATTTGCGGAGCATCTACATTCAGCAGCAAGAACCATGGCTTTCCATGGGGAATATAATGCAATTAGAGCAGTGGAAGACAGAGTGAATGGTGGTATTCCAACAGAATCTGAGTTGAGAGATTTCAATGAATTTTTAGAGGATGCAGGAATGACAACACTAAGAGCTAGTGGTCGAGAATATACTTGGACGAATGTCAATACATACAACACTATTGACTGTGGACTGGTAGATGCTTGGTGGATAATGACAATGGCCTTACATGAGCTCTTCATTATGGACCCCGGATGCTCTGATCA